TTTTTTATGTTCACAAAAACAATAATCTGGTTATGTGTACCATAATATGCTGCATACATTAGACAGGGAGTAGGACAATTTGTTTGATATTGAACAAGGATTCTACTTTGTCATTATTTTTTAAATGAAAAAATCGAACAAAGAAATTCAAAGAGTAAAACAGAATATGTTATAATGGGTGTAATAGAATATTGGGTTGATATTTATGATATTTTTACAGGGATTTCAGCTGAATGTGTTATCTACACATCCATCTCTGGTTAAGATTTGATTTACACCTACAAACGTTGTAAATCAGGTGTCGGTACAGAGTCTGTGACCTCAGACACACGATGATCTAGTGTATCTCTCCCTACAAGCCTTCCCGTTGTCTCCTCCGCAAAGTCACTATTGCCTTAAACTGTTCAAGGGAGGTAATTTATGTTGTGGAACGGACTTATTAAGCAGGAGGCATTGGTATTGGCGCGACAGACCCAATGATATCTAAGTACAATAGTTTTCTGTCATTGTTACCAGTGTTTCGGACACTTGACATGATCTACTATTGTTTAAATATGTGTGTTTGTTCACTTTTCGTGGCCTGGACCTGCATTTAACCAAGTATTGCTTCTATTGGGTTACATTTTTCTGTAGGTATACACGCATGTGTCGGAATTGCGAAAGGATTTATTGTGGAAAGAAAATGTCTAAGCTGAAAAGCCATTTATTTGTGGCAAAAATAATGCTTTCAGGTCAAAATTAACTGCCTCACGGAACTTCTAGGTAAATAACTGATGTGAGAGGGGCTATGGTTCTTCGTATAGCTTTGTACGTAACTGGTGAGAGAGAGGCTGTAGTCCTGGGATTTTCAGTGTGATGGACTTAAGTAGACCCTGATTAGCGCTTATGTTCACTCCTTTGATTATGACAAAACCCTCGAACTACCCCCAAGTTACAAATATCTTGTAGATCTAATTTTAAACCACTTCATTAATATTGCTGTTTTCATTACAGTTGCTGCCTATGTAGATACATGTATAGTTAGACCAGAAGGATATTTCTCTCTTCTTCAATGCACTGAGAATGTACATTGTATGGAGGTCACAACTGGTCCGTATGATGGTGATATGTAAGTCCAGTTTCATTAAGAAGGATGATATGTTAAAGGTAAAAACAAATAGGTTTTCCCTTGTTTTGAGTACCAACAATTGGCCATGAGTATGGGTCGACGTCTTCAGATCACTTCAGAATGTCTCTAGAATTGCAATCCAGGGTGAGATCCTGTTCTGTGAGTCCACTTGTTTATGATAAATGATCTTCAGTTAATGGCAGTCTCTTGTCAGAATAGTTACCTGGAGGTCCGTCCGTTCATAGTAAGGTCTTTGCTATGTTTGAATATAATGAAGCAGTAAACATGACATTGTTATTCAGTGTCACAGAGAAGTTTCTTTTTTAAGGTCATAGCTATGTTTGAATAAAGTGAAACTGTAAATGTGATATTGTTATTGAGTGTCTCTGAGAAGTTTCTTTTTCTTTCATTAATTCTTCCCAAATAAACACAACAGACATGTACATCAAATGGACCACTTGATCTACTTATTCAATGTCTATTAATGCCTTTAAAATGTTGCTAGCATATGTTGATTTGTCTATAACATAATATCAGAAGCTATTAAAATGATCTACATTAATTATGGGACTACTAGTATTTAAAACTGATGAAGATAAGAAAATGGAGACTTGTGTATGGAATGGTGCTGTAGTGTTATTGTAAACTGTACAGGCACCACTGACTGTCTGCAGTACATCTGAAGGTCATTGGAGGTCAAATGACCTCTATTTGGTATCTGATGATATTCTTATAGATAATACTGGTTTATATACAAATGTTATCTGCCCATCATTGTTGTATATTGAAGTAATCATTGAACTGTCTGGGGCGGACACTTACTGTTTGTCACGACTCCATCGAGCACGCTACTTTAGAACCCTACCTACATTTGTACCATGGACCAACATGGCCTCTTCTTCCCCCTTTTCCATGGAGACAAGCCGCTCTTAGCCAACATGATCCCAACACAATTTTTACTTTTCCAAAACCAGTTTCACAAACGTTTCTCAACTGAATAGATGTTTGATCAAAATTTTAAAAAATCAAATATAAAAGAAATGGAAATAATTTTATATAAATTAATTTTGAATCAAATCTAATAAGTGTGCTAAAGTCATATTCTGTTTGAGAATAAAACTATGTTTTTTTTACAGAAAACAGTAGGATTAAATGATAAGATTTTTGTGTAAAGATTGTTGTGTTCTTCATAAAAATAATACTTATAGTATTTGGTATGATTAAGATTGAAGGTTACTTAAATATCAAATAAGACTTGAAGGGAAACGTAAAGATAAGTTACTAAAGACATAGATAATGCTAACACAGACAATGGATGGTAAATTAGAGAACAAGTCAGCCCTTTCAGTTTCTGTCTGAATACTGAAGCATCAATCAATGGTAACTTAAAAACTTGAAAAATCTGTGTCTGTGCGGATTAGAAATAAAGTTTTATAAAGAAAGCTGCTGGGAGATTGAGACTAGAACAACTCAGTCACTAGGGGGTTTAGATGGGGGATCTTCTTTATTGGGAGTATCGATAATTTCCTGTGGGTAAACCGGTTATAGAGATTAATGATGAGCGGTGATCAGGCTCCTCCAGAGGCTTACCTTTCCATGCGTCTCCCACTAATTGTAACAAATGTTTACAGATACGATCCGTTGGTCAGACATTTGCCCGGTCTAGTCAGACACTCTCACACAATATCTAATCAGGCTTGTAGTTAGCTATTTTGTGGACTGGCTTCGGAATTGTCTCTGATAGGTTGGGGATTACTGAGGAAACCGTCCTCATCTTGTATGTATACATGTCTGTCTGCCCAACAAAACTTTTCATTTTTATTAATAGACCCCTTGAAAAATGGCATAGGCTGTTTGGTATGAGTTTGTAATTATTTCTGTTATCACCGGGTATTTTATAGGCAGAGCAAGGGAAATAGCGGTTCTAACAGTCAATTTGACATAGAGTCTACCATCGACAGCCTTTTTTATTAGACGAATGTTGTCCTAAAACTTTGTGCGGAATTCACTGTAATTATATTTTTTCCATCATTCCAATTGCATTCATCTGTCAAACTACATACGAAAATACAAAAGATAGAAAAAGTCATAAATATTGGAGTCAGAACATTGATAATATGTACTTTGGAAGGTGTCAAACATGGTCAGTGGAGACAAAATGTGGATTGTATCCAAAAAATGGCTGTTATTGTTGGATATAGCTTGGTGATTGGAGATCTAATACAGCTTTGATCAGCCTATCATCATTGGTGCTGTAAAGATATATAGATAGCACAGAAACCATTTCCTGTCTGGCAAGTAGGGGAAAGCTTTAAACTTAGATATAATTCCATAAACGCCATGCCGTTTTGCACTTCTGTTTTAATTAAACATTTATCAAGTCTGTTCATTGTAATACCAATTTAGGTAAAACAAAATTGTGTGTGAATTTAACAGGATTTAATTTCATCACTTTGTACTGATAAAATAAATACTTTTTACCTTGACATGCGCAAGGATCATATTTCAGATGAATCATATACAATTTAATTTAAATATTTTAATTTTAATACAATGTAAAAACTCTTGGTGTTTGTCTCAATTGGGGTTTATTAATTAAAAAAACAATCCTGAAAAGTCTTCCAAACTTAGAATTAAGGATGCTGGATTATCATTTGCCCTTTATACCAATCAAAGTAGATGTTCTGAAATCTTCCATATTCATTTGGCCACTGTGGTGTAAAGTGGACTAAGGGAACACTATGTAGATCTGACCAGACTCGGAGGAACATTTGTAGATGAGATTAGAGTTGTGTAGCCTACCGACCTATCCTCACATTTAGTGATTACTTTTCCCTGCCTTTTTTATCACCCCAGTATACAGTTTCCCTCATTCAGGATATACGGCCATACCCTGTTTAAATATTTGTAAATGATCTTTTGTTGATTTTCCTGTGTAATTTGTGATTGTAATTGCCCTGGTGTCAGTGCCAATCAGAAGTCAGAATTCCCCACACATTTCTGGCCGTTGATTAATGGCCGAGCGAAAATGAAACTGAATGTATGGTCATATATCGCCTTTCCTCCATCCATCACTTGTATTATACACGCTAATATGCTATGTCTATCAATGGGTCACACTTTTTCCCACTCTGTTTTATATTTCGTCTTTCAACATCAACATTGCCTTATTTTTCATTTGCCATCAATCCAGGTGTTTTCTCAATACATTATCATTTAATTAGATGGTTTAAACATATGGAAAAATGAATCAATGTTTCTGTAAGAATAGGGTTGGAATAATAAATATTTCTAACAGATAAATGAAATATCAGGGCCAGGACTTGTAATACAATACAAGTATTATGTATAATATGTAGGAGGTTTGTATGTACATGTGCTTTTTCTCTTGTGAATAAAAATGTTAAAAACTGAAATGTTTAGCTTCAGGTTTACAACATTTCTGTGATATAAATATACCTCCTATACCAAAAGAGTTCCACAGTCAAACCTTATAAGTGGTTATTCAGACATTGTTAGTTGATGATACATTTAATAAAAAAAACAAGATTGAATTTTTTGATAACTGTCAGATAATTCCAGAGGGTTATACAATGATCATTTACTTATTTTGAAGGGAGGTAACTCTTAGCGAAAATCACAGGGAGAAAAATGTATAAAAATTTACGAACATTTTGTGTTTTCCATCTTCATGGGATGATTTTGAATCTCTTTACATGCAAATTTAGTTTTGATCAACAAATAATTTTGAACATGAACATTTTTTGAAAATAACTTTTATTTAGTTTATTTATCAGACTTTTAGAACAGATCTGAAGTATGAATATTCTACCCCCTGATGCAATGTCATGATTGTGTTGAGTTTCATCAAATGATGTGTTTGAACTTGCAGGACTATGTACGGTGTGGTGTTCCCAGTCTTTCCAGCAACGACATCCTCCTCACAGGTAAAATACCCTTACTATTTTACCTGTGAGGGAGATATTTACCTGTGAAGTAAGGGTATTTTACCTGTGAGGGAGACGTTTTACCTGTAAAGTAAGGGTATTTTACCTGTGAGGGAGACGTTTTACCTGTGAAGTAAGGGTATTTAACCTGTGAGGGAGACGTTTTACCTGTGAAGTAAGGGTATTTAACCTGTGAGGGAGACGTTTCCAGGTAAAACGTCTCCCTCACAGGTAAAATACCCTTACTTTAGAGGTAAAACGTCTCCCTCACAGGTAAAATACCCTTACTTCACAGGTAAAACGTCTCCCTCACAGGTAAAATACCCTTACTTCACAGGTAAAACGTCTCCCTCACAGGTAAAATACCCTTACTTCACAGGTAAAACGTCTCCCTCACAGGTAAAATACCCTTACTTCACAGGTAAAACGTCTCCCTCACAGGTAAAATACCCTTACTTCACAGGTAAAACGTCTCCCTCACAGGTAAAATACCCTTACTTCACAGGTAAAACGTCTCCCTCACAGGTAAAATACCCTTACTTCACAGGTAAAACGTCTCCCTCACAGGTAAAATACCCTTACTTCACAGGTAAAACGTCTCCCTCACAGGTAAAATACCCTTACTTCACAGGTAAAACGTCTCCCTCACAGGTAAAATACCCTTACTTCACAGGTAAAACGTCTCCCTCACAGGTAAAATACCCTTACTTCACAGGTAAAATGTCTCCCTCACAGGTAAAATACCCTTACTTCACAGGTAAAACGTCTCCCTCACAGGTAAAATACCCTTACTTCACAGGTAAAACGTCTCCCTCACAGGTAAAATACCCTTACTTCACAGGTAAAACGTCTCCCTCACAGGTAAAATACCCTTACTTCACAGGTAAAACGTCTCCCTCACAGGTAAAATACCCTTACTTCACAGGTAAAACGTCTCCCTCACAGGTAAAATACCCTTACTTCACAGGTAAAACGTCTCCCTCACAGGTAAAATACCCTTACTTCACAGGTAAAACGTCTCCCTCACAGGTAAAATACCCTTACTTCACAGGTAAAACGTCTCCCTCACAGGTAAAATACCCTTACTTCACAGGTAAAACGTCTCCCTCACAGGTAAAATACCCTTACTTCACAGGTAAAACGTCTCCCTCACAGGTAAAATACCCTTACTTTACAGGTAAAACGTCTCCCTCACACGTAAAATACCCTTACTTTACAGGTAAAACGTCTCCCTCACAGGTAAAATACCCTTACTTTACAGGTAAAACATCTCCCTCACAGGTAAAATACCCTTACTTCACAGGTAAATGTCTCCCTCACAGGTAAAAGACGAGATAAACATTTCATGAGTAAATATGAAAAGAAGCTTCATGAAGACAAACATTAGGGATAGATACCATCATATTCAAACCTGATTTTCTTTCACAAACAAGTTAGACTTTTATGAATTATGTTTATCAAAAGTAATTAATGACTAATGCCTTCAAAAGGTTCATAAAAGTCTAAATCATTAGAAAATGCATTTAAAACTTATGGTAGTTAACTGTAATAACAAATAACATATGTAATAGTGTAAGTTACAATATATACTTAACTCTAACAATGAATAAGGTAGAATATAACTGTAACCCTAGCACAAATCACAGATATAGTAGCATGTACCCTACAGTCCAACAGATCACAGGTATAGTAGCATGTATCCTACAGTCCAACAGATCACATATATAGTACGAGTGTCCTACAGTCCAACAGATCACAGATAGAGTAGCATGTATTCTACAGTCCAACAGATCACATATGTAGTATCATGTATCCTACAGTCCAACAGACCACAGATAGAGTAGCATGTATCCTACAGTACAACAGATTACAGATAGAGTAGCATGTATCCTACAGACCAACAAATCACAGATAGAGTAGCATGTATCCTACAGTCGAACAGACCACAGATATAGTAGCATGTATCCTACATTCCAACAGATCACAGATATAGTAGCATGTGTCCTACAGTGCAACAGATCACAGATAGAGTAGCATGTATTCTACAGTCCAACAGATCACAGATATTGTAGCGTGTATCCTACAGTCCAACAGATCACATATGTAGTATCATGTATCCTACAGTCCAACAAATCACAGATAGAGTAGAATGTATCCTACAGTCCAGCAGATCACAGATATAGAAGCATGTACCCTACAGTCCTACAGATCACATATATAGTATCATGTGTCCTACAGTGCAACAGATCACAGATAGAGTAGCATGTCCCCTACAGTCCAACAGACCACAGATAGAGTAGCATGTATCCTACAGACCAACAAATCACAGATAGAGTAGCATGTATCCTGCAGTCCAACAGACCACAGATATAGTAGCATGTATCCTACATTCCAACAGATCACAGATATAGTAGCAGTCCAACAGATCACAGGTATAGTAGCATGTATTCTACAGTCCAACAGATCACAGATATTGTAGCATGTACCCTACAGTCCAACAGATCACATATATAGTACGAGTGACCTACAGTCCAACAGATCACAGATAGAGAAGCATGTATCCTACAGTCCAACAGATCACACATATAGTAGCATGTACCCTACAGTCCTACAGATCACATATATAGTAGCACGTGTCCTACAGTGCAACAGATCACAGATAGAGTAGCATGTCCCCTACAGTCCAACAGATCACAGATAGAGTATCATGTATCCTACAGTCCAACAAATCACAGATATAGTAGCATGTATCCTACAGGCCAACAGATCACAGATATAGTAGCAGTCCAACAGATCACAGGTATAGTAGCATGTATCCTACAGTCCTACAGATCACAGATATAGTAGCATGTGTCCTACAGTGCAACAGATCACAGATAGAGTAGCATGTCCCCTACCGTCCAACAGATCACAGATATAGTAGAATGTATCCTACAGTCCAACAGATCATAGATAGAGTAGCATGTATCCTACAGACCAACAAATCACAGATAGAGTAGCATGTATCCTACAGTCGAACAGATCACAGATATAGTAGCATGTGTCCTACAGTGCAACAGATCATAGATAGAGTAGCATGTATCCTACAGTCCAGCAGATCACAGATATAGAAGCATGTACCCTACAGTCCTACAGATCACATATATAGTATCATGTGTCCTACAGTGCAACAGATCATAGATAGAGTAGCATGTATCCTACAGTACAACAGATTACAGATAGAGTAGCATGTATCCTACAGTCCAGCAGATCACAGATATAGTAGCATGTACCCTACAGTCCTACAGATCACATATATAGTAGCATGTGTCCTACAGTGCAACAGATCACAGATAGAGTAGCATGTATCCTACAGTCCAACAGATCACAGATAGAGTAGCATGTATCCTACAGTCCAACAGATCACAGATATAGTAGCATGTATCCTACAGTCCAACAGATCACAGATATAGTAGCATGTATCCTACAGTCCAACAGATCACAGATATAGTAGCATGTATCCTACAGTCCAACAGATCACAGATATAGTAGCATGTATCCTACAGTCCAACAGATCACAGATATAGTAGCATGTATCCTACAGTCCAACAGATCACAGATATAGTAGCATGTATCCTACAGTCCAACAGATCACAGATATAGTAGCATGTATCCTACAGTCCAACAGATCACAGATATAGTAGCATGTATCCTACAGTCCAACAGATCACAGATATAGTAGCATGTATCCTACAGTCCAACAGATCACAGATATAGTAGCATGTATCCTACAGTCCAACAGATCACAGATATAGTAGCATGTATCCTACAGTCCAACAGATCACAGATATAGTAGCATGTATCCTACAGTCCAACAGATCACAGATATAGTAGCATGTATCCTACAGTCCAACAGATCACAGATATAGTAGCATGTATCCTACAGTCCAACAGATCACAGATATAGTAGCATGTATCCTACAGTCCAACAGATCACAGATATAGTAGCATGTATCCTACAGTCCAACAGATCACAGATATAGTAGCATGTATCCTACAGTCCAACAGATCACAGATATAGTAGCATGTATCCTACAGTCCAACAGATCACAGATATAGTAGCATGTATCCTACAGTCCAACAGATCACAGATATAGTAGCATGTATCCTACAGTCCAACAGATCACAGATATAGTAGCATGTATCCTACAGTCCAACAGATCACAGATATAGTAGCATGTATCCTACAGTCCAACAGATCACAGATATAGTAGCATGTATCCTACAGTCCAACAGATCACAGATATAGTAGCATGTATCCTACAGTCCAACAGATCACAGATATAGTAGCATGTATCCTACAGTCCAACAGATCACAGATATAGTAGCATGTATCCTACAGTCCAACAGATCACAGATATAGTAGCATGTATCCTACAGTCCAACAGATCACAGATATAGTAGCATGTATCCTACAGTCCAACAGATCACAGATATAGTAGCATGTATCCTACAGTCCAACAGATCACAGATATAGTAGCATGTATCCTACAGTCCAACAGATCACAGATATAGTAGCATGTATCCTACAGTCCAACAGATCACAGATATAGTAGCATGTATCCTACAGTCCAACAGATCACAGATATAGTAGCATGTATCCTACAGTCCAACAGATCACAGATATAGTAGCATGTATCCTACAGTCCAACAGATCACAGATATAGTAGCATGTATCCTACAGTCCAACAGATCACAGATATAGTAGCATGTATCCTACAGTCCAACAGATCACAGATATAGTAGCATGTATCCTACAGTCCAACAGATCACAGATATAGTAGCATGTATCCTACAGTCCAACAGATCACAGATATAGTAGCATGTATCCTACAGTCCAACAGATCACAGATATAGTAGCATGTATCCTACAGTCCAACAGATCACAGATATAGTAGCATGTATCCTACAGTCCAACAGATCACAGATATAGTAGCATGTATCCTACAGTCCAACAGATCACAGATATAGTAGCATGTATCCTACAGTCCAACAGATCACAGATATAGTAGCATGTATCCTACAGTCCAACAGATCACAGATATAGTAGCATGTATCCTACAGTCCAACAGATCACAGATATAGTAGCATGTATCCTACAGTCCAACAGATCACAGATATAGTAGCATGTATCCTACAGTCCAACAGATCACAGATATAGTAGCATGTATCCTACAGTCCAACAGATCACAGATATAGTAGCATGTATCCTACAGTCCAACAGATCACAGATATAGTAGCATGTATCCTACAGTCCAACAGATCACAGATATAGTAGCATGTATCCTACAGTCCAACAGATCACAGATATAGTAGCATGTATCCTACAGTCCAACAGATCACAGATATAGTAGCATGTATCCTACAGTCCAACAGATCACAGATATAGTAGCATGTATCCTACAGTCCAACAGATCACAGATATAGTAGCATGTATCCTACAGTCCAACAGATCACAGATATAGTAGCATGTATCCTACAGTCCAACAGATCACAGATATAGTAGCATGTATCCTACAGTCCAACAGATCACAGATATAGTAGCATGTATCCTACAGTCCAACAAATCACAGATATAGAAGCATGTATCCTACAGTCTAACAGATCACAGATATAGTAGCATGTATCCTACAGTCCAACAGATCACAGATATAGTAGCATGTATTCTACAGTCCAGCAGAAACTCCAGGTACAGTATAAAGTATAAATGTAGCATTTATCCTGAACTTTTAACCCATTCACCCCTTCAATTTTTAAAATGGACTTGCAAAGCCTTTGATTTGGTAAGGTTCAAATGTGACTTTAGGTGTGAATAGGTTAATAAAAATCACAGATTAAGTTTATAAGGTATTTTATAGCCTTCACACAAATCTCAGGTACATGTCGAATGTGAAAGGTAGTACTGTATATAATATTTAATTACGGGTATAATTTTTGTAAGGTATGGTATATCATGAGAAAATTAACCCTATTTAATCTTTTGACGCCCTTGAGAAGTCAGACACATTTTGATGTAATCATCACAGCAGTAAGAATGCTGATTACAGCTTTATTTGAATGTGTCCAGGTGTTCTAGGTGGTCCTACAACATTATATATAAATAAGTGAGTTTACCCACCATACCTCCGTGTCACACTCCGATGATCGGCATTCACATTCTTTTTACACTTCCAATCTTGACAAGTTTTCAAGATATGAGGTCATAAACTGTGAAAGAATGATGGGAGGTTGGTGCATTTGATATTTATATCTGTTTGACGTGCTTATCATGTGATAAAGAGCAAATCATGCTGCACATGTGAAATGTCAAATGTCAAGGTCACGAAGGATTAACATACTAAAGTAAAGGAATATAGACCAGTTTGTGTTAGCTGGAAAGTGGTCACTACAACTGAGTGACACAATTAGGTTCACTGTTATCTGTGTCAAGGTCGAGATAGCTTCTACTTAATAACAAATTTGTGATCACTACTATCTTTGCCAAGGTCGGGGTTGCTTCAAATTAATAACAAAATCAGGATCACTATTATTTGTTGTCAAGGTCAAGGTTACTTCTAAAATGTTTGCAGTTGTGTGTGTCAAGGTCAGGGTTGCTTCATATTAATAACAAAATCAGGATCACTATTATTTATTGTCAAGGTCAAGGTTACTTCTGCTTAATGACAAAATCATGTCTACAGTTGTCTGTGTCAAGGTCAGGGTTATATACTTAAAATTAATAACAAAATCAGGATCACTTTCTCTATCAAGGTCAGTGTATCTTTTACTTATTAACAAAATCAAAATCACTGTCTAAGTTAAGGTCAGGGTCACTTCAGTTTGGCTACAACATATGCAATGGAAGGTCATGATATCTTATAAGTTAGGGTCAAGGTCAACATCAGTATGCCCTCCTGCAATGTGAGCCTATACTTGTCTTTGAGATTATATATAACATGTTGATGTATATGATGATTGAGCCAAGTTGGTGAATGATGGAAGCATGCTGATTTCTTCTAATCCAACATCAAATGATATTCTTTTAAAGATGAACTCAATTATTTTTACAAAATTTCTAATAATTGTATGAAATTGGATTGGTTTTGCTCAGGTTCCTATGACCACAAGGTTAAACTGTACGACACTCGTATCGGGGACAGTGTGCTGACTGTGGATCACGGAAACCCTGTGGAAGATGTTCTCATGTTTCCTACTGGCGGGATCTTCATTTCAGCAGGTAACCATTCATTTATTTAAGGGCTGATTAAATCAACATTTGATTGGAAACCCAATTGCTTGCAAATGCAAAAAAAGATCAACAGGAAACCATTCACATTTCAGCATTCCATCAAATTTGAATTTGGTGTCGCCACATGTTTGGTCCCCGATTACTATCGTAGTAAAGACGGAAAGACCCAAACAGTTTACGATAAGGAAACATTCAACGATTAGAGTTGGTAGATATTTAACTATATAGTTAAAGTACATTGCACACCAAGAATTTGATCCAATTTTGTCATAAAGTAGTTCTGGGTAAGTATTGAATTTTATATCATGGAAATATATTTGTGGGAAAGTATACGATTAAAAGGAGAAAAAAATAGTTTAGGGTTACATTTCTATGTTATGTATTAGTTGGGTTTTTTTTCTTATCAGCTAAATCTGATGTCTTTGCCATACCAAGGCAGAGTTACTATTTAGCACACACATGGGGAGGGAGGGGAAGGGGAGACGGGGAGAGATCTCTCTGCCTTCTGTACCGGGCAAGTTGATCACAGTGATGAGTTTTTTTGATATAAGACATCAACATAGATAATAAAATTGGGATAAAAATGTCTGCCTTCATTAGCAACCGCCCAAAAGTAGGGGACAAAAAAATACATTTCATGACAAAGAATCGGCGATCCGTGACAGTAACCCAGCAAAACGAAACCAAGAGTTTTTGTTTTATTAGAATCCAGTTGCAAACATAAGAATAAAAAAGGTTTGCATTGACAAATACAACTCTGACATGTCCTAACATTGTACCACAGTCATCCATTACCGGAGGGAATTTGACTCGCATTCAGCTGTGTTTTGGTGTATGGTAATGTCAAAAATGTGGAACTCCAAATAATGCGAACTGCATATCATTGAAGCATGAAATTGCCATAGGTCTCCCAGCAGTAGCCCTGCCGTGATGGGTGTCAGAAATTCCTATTTATCTTGGCAAAAATTGCAACCAAATATTCATACATTCATATTTTGAAATAATCTGTCGGGTATTGAACATAAACATTAATGCTAATGACATTTTTATTTCATCTCCAGAATATTACTCTGGTCTGGAACTCACCAGGCCAATGGAGACTTTGTCATTTACCTTGTGCCATACTCTTGTGTTTCAGGGATAATTTCAGATTTTTTAAATACACATAAACTTGTGCCTTCAAATTCCATATATCAGAAACAAAATTTTATGATATATTGAAAGTTCTTGAAATTGATTGTAACATGTCTTGCAGCCAGTTTGAGTAAGATATAGACTTTTTGAGTTTTGCTAATACACAACACCTTCGTTTCGCAGTAGATAATCCACAACACCTTCCTTTCTCAGTAGATAATCCACAACACCTTCGTTTCTCAGTAGATAATCCACAACACCTTCGTTTCTCAGTAGATAATCCACGCACATTAATTTTACCTTAATTTTTTAGTAGAAATTCCAGGGACCTTAATTTCTCAGCAGAAAATTAAGTCACTTTAATGTTTTGATAGATAATCCAGTCACCTTAATTTGACCTAATAAGCTGTTAATAGGATATTAAAAAAAGTAGTAGGACAACTGGATAAGTTAAAGCCAAGTAAAAGGACAGTGGATAAATTAAAGCTATGTAGTAGGACAACTGGATTAATAGTTAAAGCTATGTAGTAGGACAACTGAATTAATATATAGTTAGAGCTAGGTAGTTGGACAACTGGATTAGTTAAAGCTAGGTTGTAGGACAACTGGATAAGTTAAAGCTAGGTAGTTGGACAACTGGATTAGTTAAAGCTAGGTAGTAGGACAACTAGACTAGTTAAAGCTAGGTAGTAGGACAACTGGATAAGTTAAAGCTAGGTTGTAGGACAACAGGATAAGTTAAAGCTAGGTTGTAGGACAACATGATTTGTTAAAGTTTAGTAGTAATAAAACTGGATTAGTTAAAGCTAGGTAGTAGGACAACTTGATTAGTTCAAGCTAGGTAGTAATAAAACTAGATAAGTTAAAGCTAGGTAGTAGGACAACTGGACTAGTTAAAGCTAGGTAGTAGGACAACTAGACTAGTTAAAGCTAGGTAGTAGGACAACTAGACTAATTAAAGCTAGGTAGTAGGACAACATGATTAGTTAAAGCTAGGTAGTAATAAAACTTGATAAGTTAAAGCTAGGTAGTAGGACAACTAGACTAGTTAAAGCTAGGTAGTAGGACAACTAGACTAGTTAAAGCTAAGTAGTAGGACAACAGGATTAGTTAAAGCTAGGTAGTAGGACAACAGGATTAGTTGAAGCTAACTCGAAGGACAACAGGATAATTTGTCTTTCTGTGCATATCTCAGCCACTGTTTCATGCGTTGACATCACAATTGGAATGTAGTTACATCATCAGAACAAGAACCTTTCCTAAATTTTTGACCTTTGAATTCAGATTCTTCAATGCTAAGGTTTCTTTAACATTATCTTGGCCAGGTTTATGTGCAAACAGCAAACTTGATTCATAAATGTATCACAATAAGGTGCTGTTTTGTGCACCAAAATAACGTCAATTATATATACATCCTGTGGCCTTTTGACCTTTGATCTCCTGTTTGTTATCAATATTTATTACAGTATAAAGGACATGTCAGAACAGATGATGCTAATATTAGTCCAACAGCAGTTCAATTGATTTCAGGAAAGCTAGTTAAACAAATGTAGAAAGTGTGAAGTGTAAAATGGATGGTATGATGGTCTGTTTTGGAGAGAATGCCCTGAAAACTTTGGTGAAACATTAACAGTCAAGTACAGTATATTGACAGTTTATTGAGGATACTAAAATGTTAAAAACACCGACATTCTTGCCGATGTCACAAATACTGCTAGCAACAGTCTTAATGGACTGCTAAACTGGAAACTTCCCATATTTTCTGCCCAGTAAAGAACATATCTACTGATATTAACCAAAAAGAAAACAACAGTGATCAAAATAATTATTATATATATATTCTTCTTATTTCTACTCTCAAACTTGGACAGAGAAGAGAATAAATAGTTGCTGTCAGCTTGTTTCTATAGAAGCATTCAGTTTTACTTCCATACAAACCTATAAAGCTATTTGACAAATTACTGTACTTTTAAATTTTAAGATAGAGACCATTAAGAAGAAGCTATAGTACAGTAACACTTAAGAGTTTATTAGAAATATGTCTTTTTAGTCGGCTATTCCCAGTTTATTTTTAATCAACACAAATTTATGATAGGTTAGATAGCATTATCGTGAGAAACGACTTCAAAGTTGATCTGCAGCTTATCACATTACATATCATAATGATAAGTAAGTATCAGTTTTACTTACATTAAAGAAGCATCGTTCTTATAAAAGATAAAAGTGATTTTATGAGTCTATATGAAGATGCTATCACAGACATTAGTTATGACACACCGAGGAGCGACGACACTTTCCTTTACCAGTGGTAGAGGATTTTGTCAGGGGTATCATTGATAGAAAATAAAACGTGTGATTACTTGCAATATGATGAATTGGGTGGTTACCTGATGATAAAGTAACATTATATATATACAGCTAGTGTATATAGACTATATCGCAGTCCTCTATCAGTGTTCTCAACCGATGTCTCTATTGCCTAACAGCAGGCTCGGCCAACTTTCTCTTAGACATGTTATATGATGTTATCAATAAATATGTTTAATTTTCTGTAGCTCAATATGAATTTGTAAGTTGGCATCTTAATATTATTTATACATATTAACAAAACCTTAATGTATTTTGTGATTTCTTTATCGGTAAACCACCCTAGACGATATTATCAGAAACGGGAGAATACCCACATCAATGTAATAAACCTATTTCTTTTAAATCTCAATAAATTGAAACAGTAATAGCGATATGTGGGCCTAGAATTTTTCATTTTGGTTTGATTCTGCTGAAGTGAATAAAAACTTGGGGAGAAGTTTCTTTCACCTCATGAAATCTGAACAAATTCAAGATCCTTTTTATCTCCTGACCAAGAGTTAATGCAAATATTTGCAAAAAAACAACAACAACAAACATATGTTTTCCTGACCATCGTCTTCAGTGTTGCAATCTTTACATTGCTCTCTATCAACTTCAGTGCAGCATTATTTACACAAAAAAACCCACAGTTTACTTAATTTTTCCACAATTATAAAGCAAGTTTTTATCAACAAATTAATCACTTTGGTTGCCCTGGATAGTAGTCCACAGGAGTCTTTATATGGGAGGAAACTTGAGTACCAGAGGAAAATCAGCGTTCTGCTATTGTTTGTTGTCATTTTTCACTGAGTACTAGAATAAGTTTAAAATTGTTACTGGGGCAATATCTGCAAAACTGATATGCTGTCATATGCATACCTGCTAAATGACCCGCATCTTGCGGGTCACACCTGCAACATAAACCTATCACTTGTGACTATCTTATTACCTGTGTGGGTCATACATATCTCGCGCGAATAAATATGACCTGCAATCTTCCACCTCCGCCTTTTATTAGTAGGGGACAAATTTTTGCCTCTTGTCAAATTTTAACAGATCTGCCCAATCATAAATTAGCACGATGGTTAAAATTGCGAAAACAGCTAAAATTAGAATACCGCTCAATTATGTAGTTAACTGCGTCAGAACAATTAAGACAACACGCTCCGATATATTCTTTCCATTAGAATTACATTACATTTCTATCAGTAGTGTATTTTTAGTATTGATATATGAAGAGAGGTGCCTTGGCTGGTGGCCACTGTAAGCCTCCCTGACCTGACCGGGACATGCGGGAGTCATATAGACGCAGTTCAGAAGATTGTCCAGCTAAAGGTGTCAATGGAAAGATTTATGATGCAAACTGGGATGGTCAATTTAGCCTGTATTAAATCTCAATGCTAGTCTTACTTCTCGATGTACTTGTATCATATAATCTAATAGACTGCTAAGTAACAACCTTTGGGCCAGCCCTGGTCATCATACTGATAAATTATTATATTGCC